TTTCGGTTAATGAACAAGTTGCAGCTAAAAACCGGGATCTGGCGGCCGAGTTGGATACCGTTCGGCGAGAAAATGATACTCTTCGCCTGATCCTTCAAAAGGCAGCTAATGAAGAGCGCCGCCGACTGGAGGTAGCTCAGGCCGAGTACGACCGCCTAAAGGAGCAGGCGAAAGAGAAAATTGTTGCTCAACATGAAGCCGGATTTAAACACGCTGTTCGGCAGGCCAAGCATTTCGGCCAATTTGAAGAAGGCTTCGAGTTTGACATGACCCACGATTTTTATCAAGGGTCGTTTATGTCATTTGTTGAGATGCCCCAAGGGGCCGACCCTGATGACGCTGAACTGGGTGCTGCCCCCCAAGCGGAAGATGATGCTGAAACTCCTTTTGAGGAAACCGCCACCGAAGGAGAAAACCCCGTGACCGAGACCGAGGCCGAGGGAAATCCCGAAATCACCGTTCAAGACGATCCAGCCGGAACCCCCGAGGAGTAGTTTAGCTTTTTTAGGGTTTAGTTTCTTGCTTTGGTAGATGTAGACTGGGGGCCGATAGAGCCTCCATTTTTGGAATGAAATGACATCGCATCTTTTTGAATCTTGCTGTCTTTAATAAATTTCGATTCTAAATTTTGTCAAATTTGTGCTTACGACTCAAATAATCAATAACCAAACGAACGTCTTTGCTTGTAAATTGAAACCCACTTACATTTTGAGAAAGACCGAGTGGATTCACTCGGAATTGCTTTGCTTTCTGAGCAAGACCGAGTGGACTCACTCGGAATTGCGTCGCTTTCTCAGCAATTCCGAGGTGATTCATTCGGAATTGCTTTGCTTTCTGAGCAAGACCGAGTGGATTCACTCGGAATTGCGTCGCTTTCTCAGCAATTCCGAGGTGATTCATTCGGAATTGCTTTGCTTTCTGAGCAAGACCGAGTGGATTCACTCGGAATTGCGTTGCTTTTTGAGCAAGACCGAGTTGATTCACTCGGAATTGCTTTGCTTTTTGAGCAAGACTGAGTGGATTCACTCGGAATTGCTTTGCTTTTTGAGCAAGACCGAGTGGATTCACTCGGAATTGCGTTGCTTTTTGAGCAAGACCGAGTGGATTCACTCGGAATTGCGTTGCTTTTTGAGCAAGACCGAGTGGATTCACTCGGAATTGCGTTGCTTTTTGAGCAAGACCGAGTGGATTCACTCGGAATTGCGTTGCTTTTTGAGCAAGACCGAGTGGATTCACTCGGAATTGCGTTGCTTTTTGAGCAAGACCGAGTGGATTCACTCGGAATTGCGTTGCTTTTTGAGCAAGACCGAGTGGATTCACTCGGAATTGCGTTGCTTTTTGAGCAAGACCGAGTGGATTCACTCGGAATTGCGTTGCTTTTTGAGCAAGACCGAGTGGATTCACTCGGAATTGCGTTGCTTTTTGAGCAAGACCGAGTGGATTCACTCGGAATTGCGTTGCTTTTTGAGCAAGACCGAGTGGATTCACTCGGAATTGCGTTGCTTTTTGAGCAAGACCGAGTGGATTCACTCGGAATTGCGTTGCTTTTTGAGCAAGACCGAGTGGATTCATTCGAAATTGCGTTGCTTTTTGAGCAAGACCGAGTGGATTCACCCGGAATTACATTGCTTTTTGAGCAAGATCGAGTGGATTCACTCGGAATTGCGTTGCTTTCTGAGCAAGACCGAGTGGATTCCCTCGGATTTGCGTTGTATTAAGATTGAAGATTGGCCGAGTTGATCAACTCGGGAGGGAAGCCTTTTTGCGTGATTTTCCGAAGGCACATCCTTGGCCGAGTTGATCAACTCGGGAGGGAAGCCTTTTTGAGTCATTTTTCGAAGGCACATCCTTGGCCGAGTTGATCAACTCGGGAGGGAAGCCTTTTTGCGTGATTTTCCGAAGGCACATCCTTGGCCGAATTGATCAACTCGGGAGGGAAGCCTTTTTGCGTGATTTAAAGTAAGATGAATGATGAGAAGGAAGAATTGAACTGTATTTCATTGATATGTGCCTCATTAAAAACCTTGTCGGCCAAAACCCCTTTTCACTTTTTTATAAGGGGAGAAAAGACCGATCAAGGAAAAGAGTGCACTCTTGTGATTACATTGTCATCGTATTACAAGAACTAACTATAGTATGTTTTCAAAAGCGACGCGTTCCATGTTCTTGGGATGACCTTGCCCGAGATCTCTTCAAGTTTATATGCACCGTTGTCGAGGCTGTGTCGGACTCGAAATGGTCCATCCCAATTTGCTGCCAACTTTCCTTCCCGTGGATTTTGCCTTGCCGTTCCTTGAACTCTCCACACCAAATCTCCTTCCTTGAAGCTTCTCTTGATGAGATTAGAATTGAATCGCCTGACCATTCGCTGCTTACAAGCTTCGACTATGATCTGGGCCTTGGTGCGGACTTCATCGGTCATATCGACTTCGGCTCGAAGTGATGCTTCATTAGCACCCTCGTCAAAATGTTGCCGCCGAAAGGATGGTTCCCCAACTTTGACAGGGATCATGGCATCGGTGCCATATGTTAGCCGAAAAGGTGTCTCTTTAGTTGTGGACTGACGCGTGCACCGATAAGCCCATAGGACTTCTAACAATTCCTCGGCCCAAGCTCTCTTAGCGTCTCCCAATCGCTTCTTTAATTCAGTGAGGATCACCTTATTAGCCGCTTCGGCTTGCCCGTTGGATTGCGTATGTTCGACTGACGTAAATCTGTGCTTAATGTCGAGATCTTGAATAAATCGGTTGAGTTTTTGATCAGTGAATGTCAGTTACGAGAGCATGTGGGATGCCGAAGCGAGTAATGATATTCTTCCATAAAAATTTCTGGACATTCGCAGCTGTGATATTGGCAAGTGGCTCGGCCTCAACCCACTTTGTGAAGTAGTCTACGGCAGCTAATAAAAACTTGCATTGGCCCTTGACAATTGGGAATGGTCCGAGGATATCCATGCCCCACATTGCAAACGGCCAAGGTGAACTAATACCATGAAGCTCTTCAGCTGAAGCATGAATAAGATTGTCGTGCCGTTGGCATGACACACAATGCTTAACAAATTTTACGCAGTCATCCTTAAGGGTTGGCCAATAATACCCCGCCCGAAGCACCTTCGTGGCTAGGGTTCGTCCTCCTGAGTGAAAACCGCATATTCTTTCATGAATCTCTCTCAAGACATAGTCCTCTTGTACCGAATCAATACATTTCAATAGTGGGACCGAAAAACCTCTGCGGTATAACTCTCCTCCAATAATTGAATACCTGGCTGCCTATGTTCGAAGTTTCTTGGCGGCAAATGGGTCAGATGGCTCCTTGCCATGTTCAAGGTAATCTGTTATATCGGTGATCCATGTTCGAGTGGGCTCCCCAACCGTCATGCATTCGGTAGGTGTTACACTCGGAGTTGTAAGGTCCAGGTGAAGTGTGGTTCGTAACTGTCCAGGTTTCCGAGTACTGCTTGCTAACCGAGCTAACTGATCATCCCTCTCGTTATGTTTTCTCGGCGTGTGCCTTACTTGGACTTCATCAAAAGTACTACGCATTCTTTGAAACAAATGATAGTATTTCAACAAGCTAGAATCTTTAACCTGGAAGTTGTCATTTACTTGCTCTGCAACGACTTTTGAGTCAGTCCAGCACACCAATCGTCTGGCCCCGATCTCTTGTGCAAGTCTTAAACCTGCCAACAATGCTTCGTACTCGGCTTGATTGTTCGAAGCTTTGAACGCAAACTGCAATGACTGTTCGAGAGTCAACCCTGTTGGTCCTTCAAGGATTATACCAGCTCCACTACCTTGATTGTTTGAAGAGCCGTCCACATGCATCGTCCACATATCACTGAGAAAGTGACCCTTCGGTTGCAGTTCATTAACAAAATTCGCCAAGTATTGAGATTTGACCGGACCCCGTGGTTCGAAACTAATGTCGAATTCTGATAGTTCAATCGACCAAGCCATCATCCGCCCTGCTAACTCTAGTTTACGCAAAACCTTAGCGATCGGGCAGTCAGTTTGGACTATGACACAATGACTATGAAAATACTGTCTGAGGCGTCGAGCAGTGTGAACAAGTCCTAACGCCACCTTTTCTAGGAGCTGATATCTCGTCTCGGCCTCCTGTAACATGCGACTAATGAAGTAAATGGGTTGTTGCCCCCCTTTCTCTTGAATTAGAACGACACTGATTGCCTCATTCGATACACATAAATAGACCACCATATCAACCTCAGGAGCAGGTTTTGAAAGGATGGGGGGAGAGCCGAGACGTTCCTTCAACATCCGAAATGCTTTTTAACATTCGATCGACCATTCAAACTTTTTCACTTTCCTTAGCAATCCAACAATAGGTTTCGCTATTTCGGCCAAACATGGGAGGAACCGTGACAAAGCTGTGAGCCGTCCTGCTAGCTTTTGAACTTCTTTGAGGTTCCGAGGGCTCACCATGTCGACAACTGCCATGCATTTATCAGGACTGGCTTCCATGCCCCTTGCCGACAGCATAAAGCCGAGGAACTTTCCTCCTGACACACCAAATACACACTTTTCAGGGTTAAGCCTCATATCATATTTGTGCAACTGTTGGAACACCTCCGAAAGGTCAACTACGTGTTGCTCGAGGTCTCCGAACTTGACAACCATATCATCAACATACACCTCCATATTCCTACCGAGTTTTTGTCGAAAAATTTTATTCATTAATCTCTGATAAGTTGCACCTGCATTTTTCAACCCGAAGGGCATTACTTGGTAGCAATAATTGGCCGAGTCAGTTATGAAGGCTGTCTTTTCTTCGTCGCGGGGATGCATGGGGATCTGATTATACCCCGAATAAGCGTCGAGAAAGGTGAGGACTTTGTGACCAGAGGCACCATCAACTAGCCGATCTATGTTTGGGAGTGGGTAAGCATCTTTGGGGCATGCTTTATTGAGATTAGTGTAATCAGTACACATTCTCCATTTTCCATTCGGCTTTTTCACGATGTCAGGCATGTCAGAAGGTGTCTATGCAAAAAGGTCTTTATTTTTCACTATTACCCGGCACAGGATGGAACGATCTTTTTTAGATATATCAGCACCAATATATGTAACTTGAGCTGGGTGTAACCTGATTTGTAGCTGTATTTTTGGTTCAACTGGCTCTACACGCTCTTCGTCATTCATTCGCGGGTCAAGATCCCAAACTGACTCTTCAACCAATGCCGAAGAGTCAACAACATGCACCCTCTTGGACTTTGACTTTCTTTCTTCCATGGGCGTAACTCGCAAACTAGCAAAGTAGCATTCTCGGGCGGCCTTCTGATCGGCGTGTATAGTGATGATCTTCCCCTTGTCAGATGGAAACTTCATCGCTAGGTGCGGTGTTGAGACAATTGCCCCTAGTGCGTTCAATGACGGTCGACCGAGGAGGATGTTATAAGAGGTGTTAGCATCGACCACGATATATTTTACTTGAATTTCCCTACTTTCCTGTTCGTCAAAATAAAAGCGAGTGAAAAGTTTAATATATCCTTTGGTGCTTACTCTCTCTCCTGCAAAACCAACCAACGGGTCATCATAAGGAATTAACTCTTTTTCGGATATACCCAACTGCTTGAAGGTATTCCAATACAAGATATCTGCTGAATTGCCTTGGTCGATCAGTGTTTTCTTGACGATGCAATTGTGAATTTCTACACTGATCACCATTGGATCGTCTTGCACCGGATCAATGCCTTGAAAATCAGCATCAATGAAAGTTATTGTTGGCAATCGCCGAGAAGGTTGTCTATCAACGGCATTAACTGACCGGATGGCTCGTAGGTGCCTTTTTTGGGCTGAAGAAGTTGAGCCTCCGCCCGCAAATCCACCTGCGATTGTATTAATGATCCTCCTACGCGAAGGTGTCGAGTCATCTTTCCTGTCCCGCGATCTGCTTCGTTCGCGTCGGGATCTATCAGAACGGTCCTGTCTATGCCGATCCTGGTACCGAGGTTGATATGAGGAACGAGTTTGGGATGAGCCTGACCGATCCACAAAATTATGCAATTTGCCTTGTTTAATCAAATCTTCAATTTTGTCTTTGAGGGCCGCACACTCCTCGGTAGAATGCTCACGATTGCGGTGATACCAACAAGATTTACTAGTGTCCGCACGTGGTGGAGTGGATGCTCTCTTCGGGACTGCCAGCACTTCTGAAGTCAAAGCTTGCTCGAGTACCGCGGCTCGTCTTGTATTGAGTGGAGTGTAGTGAGTGTACTTCGGACCCCGTATAGGGCGGTCGCGAAGAGTTATCTCCTTGCCTCGCCCCCTGTATGGTTGTTCTGCTTGCTTCTCTGGCTTGCCCGATGGTTCGGGCTTGATTGCGATACTCAGCCAATTCTTCCATTTGCATATACTTATCGGCCCGCCTTCGTAAGTCATTCATGTCCGAAGGAGGCTTTTTGCATATGCTATTAACAAACGACCCAGGCTTTAAAGCTGTTGTGAGGTGATGCAGTGCAACAGCAGAATTGAGATCCCGGATTTCCAAGGAAGCCTTGTTGAACCGATCCATAAATGTCCGAAGAGACTCCTTTTTATCTTACCGAAGACCGACCAGGGATAGAGACGTCAAGCTGTGAGGACGAATCGTTGCAAACTGAATAGTGAACTGAGAAGACAACGTGTTGAACGAGTCAATGGAGTTAGGAGGTAGTCGAGTAAACCAACTCAAGGCCCTGCCTTTGAGAGACATCGGAAAAATCTGGCACAAGGCAGCATCATCAGTTGTACTCAACGTCACCTGTGTCAAAAAAACATCCAGATGTTCATCAGGATCTGTTGTACCATCATATTTATCAATGGGCAAGGATTTCCAGTTATCCATTAAAGGGAGTTGCATAATGGAGGGTGTAAAGGGGTGTCGGTGCGATCCAACAGTGGCCAAGTCTGCAGGACGACCAACAGTAGGTTGAGCCGAAGGGATTCTTAGAGGTGCTGCTACCGAGGCATGAGGAGCCGAGATATGGACCTCATGAGATTGATAGGACCCCTGGGTTTGCGTGTTGGTCACTTGAGTGGGTTTCCACGACGAATCATTTTTCAGTGCCTCGTTTTCGGCTCTTAAGGCCGAAAGCTCCTTTGCATCCTTCTCCCGCTGTTGTTTCATCGTGGCCATCTCCTGTTTCAATAAACGGACGGTTTCAGAGAGATCGGTCTCGTCCACCACCTCAACATGTTCCTCCTCAGGTTGTTTTTCTACCGTGTTTGTTCTCCTTGTTATCGCAATTTGGTCTTCTTGCTCAATTAATCTTCCAAACGTCTCAGTTCGGCCCCACGGTGGGCGCCAAAATGTACCTGTCTGATGGGCACACTAAGTCTTCTAGTAGTCCAAAGGCCGAACGAGAGCTCCGATCCAATATGCTGGTGAGGGGGTTGGTACCTGCAAAAGGCACTCCAACGCTCAAGTCAGGACAAGCACGAATATTTAGGGTAATTAATGAACAGTGACGTTACCTTTTGACCTGAGTTATTTATACTGACATTTATGGGCCTTGGACCCCATGGGCCCTGCACATATTTACCGTATTAGGTAATACACCTTAATCAGCTAATTAACCCCTAATCTTTGATTAAGAGTAACAAGTGATAATAGGCCGATCCTGGTGGCCGATTGGCGTTTGGCTACCCGGTTCTGCCATTCGGCGACCGATAGGCTGGTGGCCGAACGCCCTTACCTGTACATAAATAAAATGACAGAGAAAGATAAATACAAAAATAACATTATACAAGTTGTTATACAATTTTTGTTATACATGTAACATTACTAATCAAATTAAATTAAATTAAAGATGAACACGTGAATTAATTACATAATGTTGTTCTAACAATTTATGATCTTAAATTCAAGTATTGAGCATACATCTTGTAAAATATTTGAATTAAAATTTTTATCATCTATAATAGTGATCATATATTATTCAACGAGATTGCTTCCTTTGAAGGATATTTTGTCTTATACCAAAATAAAAAAATCTAAAATTATTTTTTATACAAAAACATTATTAAATTAACAGTTGATTCATGTAAGTTATTTTTATAATGAGTATTTTAGCCTTTTTTTATATATGATTAAAATTTAGAATATGTAACGATTTGTCATATTCCTACACTTTTCAGCTTAGCAACTAAAGTAGTGGAAATCCTAAATACAATTAGCTCAAGTTAACATGCAAATAATCCCTCTGTGTGTGTAAACTTCATCAACTAAAAAACATAAATGTACGTCTTTTAATAGGACTACAACTACAAGCTATACATATATGTATATACAATAATCCTAGACAGAAGCATAAAAACCTAAATTGTTGATCAAACAACTACTAAAACTAGTTACTTTAGAGTAGCTAAAGCAATGATGTCATCTTCCAACACGACTCTCGAAACTCGTACCACCTCCAACTTCTCCCTATTTTACTTCTATTACAAGTACAATCGTTGTATTTCAACCACAAGAAACACATGCAAGGGTAAACTTACACATAACAACATAACAAGTATAAAGGTAAAGTACAACTATACTATCAACATCAACATATATAAACCACATCATACAACTCATAAAGGTTTTTCAACTTAAAAAACACAACAACACCATAACTTACAACACAACATACAAATTATCAACACATCTTGTCCATAACACAAAAACCTAAGCAACAATACCACATATCAAATTTACAATTTATCAACACAACATAATGTGTTGTTACACATTTTAATTAGGAGATCTCTTACTACACAAGTAAGCAGTCTAAGTGACTTGATCCAACCGAACCAGCTTAACAACATGATCTTTTTGGGTTTGCTAGATCAATAGCAAATTTGGATGAAAATCCATAATGCAACATGATTTCTTAGATCTCACTACTTAAACTAGGAAAATCCAATATTCATGTCAAGGTTAGGATAGCTTGGGTGTGAGCCTACCATGGCCTTAGCATGCATAACTAAGCCTATTATAGAATTAGTTTGCCAACTAACCTCCAAATATTACGCCCCTTCCAGTACTAGTTAGGGATTTTGGCCTCCGACCGTGTACCTTACTTGGTTTGGTCACTTTATACATGTGTGGCTCAATCTTGTCACCATATAGATCTACATTTGGTCGCTTTAGTATGGCAATCTGATCCACATACTATATCAACTAAGAATTAAGAGGAGACTCAACACTCCACTTCAAAAATCAACTTCTCAATAAAGGTTTTCAAAAACTAGGCTCGTAGAGTATCACAACGCCATATCTTCACAATGAAATACTCATATTTTAAAACATCTATGTTTTAGTCCTAAACTAATCAACACAACTCAACTTCATGCCTTAAACATTATCAACACAACTACTTTAACACTACACAACACACAACTCTACTATAGTTCAACTACCATCAACTTGCAACTTTAAAAAACTTAAATATCAACCACCATCATCCTAGATCAAAATATAATGAACTATAATTATACAAAAACATGCAACACGTGAGTAACTTAATCTACAAACCACTTGTTCAACACTTAGCCAAATAAACAACACATTTTCATTTAGTATCTAGCGCTTAATGACATTCTCCCTAAACCTGACATCATTGAGACAGAGAGTCTCTGACTCGCTCGCACTTGACACCATTCTACCCGAGCTCGACATGAATGAGTCAAATAGTCTTGTGTCATTCACATTTGGTGTGCCTCATTTAGGCCTAGATCCTTTACCTGCCTCGCGCCTAATGTCACAATATTGATACTCGACATCATCTAGGTAGAGAGCTACTAATTTCGTCACACCTGATGCCACTTAACTAGCACTTGACGTCACTAAGTCAAAGCTCCACGCCCGATGCCCCTCAACCCATGTCTAGTATGATCAAGTCAGAAAACTCTCCTCTAACTCGTGTCTAACGCTACTAATCCCATGCCCAATGTGATAAGCTAGAGAGCCTCTAACCTATATCATACTCATGCCATAAAGTTGTGCTTGGTGTGATGGTGAATTATGCACTTGGCATATTCGCATTTTATTTTTGGCTCAATCCACCTGAAACTTAGAAAACTCCTACATGCAATGCACCAATTAATATACATGCATCATAATCAGTTCAATTCTAGTTAGATGAACAACATGTAACTATAATCAAATACTAGAATCATCATTCTCTTTCAAGAAATGCAAAACACGCAAAACTCAATAACTCAAATCTTCTTTCATGATTCAGTTCAATCAACAATCTGTAAGAGGAAAACTACATGAAATCAGCATCAACAATCCGACATCTAGAAATCATCGAGCTTCTTTTACCTCAAGTCATCTAGAAAAAAGGTACAAGATGAGAAGAATGAAATCCTCCAAGACTCCGCACGACTAATCCACATCTCTAATTCTTAGCACTGAGTGCCTTGAATCTCAACTAAGTTGTTATTAACTCCAGGGAAGGGATCCTAGCACTCTTGAGATCTCAAAAGAAGAAGGAAATTGTAACTCTAGAGAGCTCCTTTTTCTAGCTTCTCTCTAGCTTTCTTTAAGAAATGAACTTATGAAACTTAAGTCTTAAGGAAAACATTATATACCTTCCCTTAACTAGTCAACTTGACCTTAATTCATAACAACTCTTAAATAACAAAAACACATTAGAATTCTTAAATCCTTAGAATTTTACAACAATTATACAATTAAACACAATATCAATTTAATTAATAAAATCAATAATTATTAACAAAATGTACAGCGTTACAAATTAAATAAATATTTTTAACTATATTTTAAATTATTATATAAATTTATTTTTAGCTATTAACATTTATTTTAAAAAAATGAAATTCAATTTAAAATCATAGTTAAAAGATATTAGTTCTTATTTTGGTAAAAACCACAAGTGTCATCCACGGTAGACAACGACAAACTTTTATGAGTATTTAATATATTTACATACTCAAGAGTCAAACTTGATATTATAGTAAAAATAGCTGACAAATAAATTTTCTAAGACGTACTAATAACTATCCTAAAGGACTTATGCTTAGTATCTACGCAAGCCCCCATGATACAACAAAAATATATCATAATAGAACTGAGACTATAGAACTTAGCAAGAAGAAAGTTTAGAACCTAGAGCATAAGATATCTAAAAGAGAAGAAAGAGCTTTTAGTGTATCTTTCCCCTTCAATAGAGATGCCTATTTATAGGGAGCTGGGGCATCAAGCGAAATAAAAAAATATTTAAAGAGAATAATGGGTAATAAAGCACCAATGATCAGAAAGCAAAAAACCTTAAAAAGAATAACGGGTAATAAAGCACCAACAATTAGAAAACAAAAAACCTATGAGTAATCAATTTCAGAAGATGCTAAATTTGTTACTCTCCTGAAGCCTATTTAGCTTTGAAATTATT